AAAAATCAGCTTGTTACCAAAAATGTCCATGTTAAAACTAATGCTCTTGGCCTAAACGTGAAAATGCTTGGAAAAATCAACTGACAAGCCAATAAATGAATAAATTAATGAAATAAATAAATAAATAAATGGATAACTGAATTTGAACTTATAAATAAATAAAACAAACCCAATAATCAGATTTTTTGCTCTCAGTTGCTTTCATGACCCATATAAATGTATCTAACAGGGACGTGTTTGAGTTTGATGTTCATATATTTTCCATATGTACATCGTCACACATAATTTAATTAGTAACATAATTGTATCGTCGCATAAACTCATACATGGAAGAAAAAGGTGTCGCCATAGGCACAACTTGAGCTTACGTTCTCTTGTTCAAACTCTGAGGCCCGAATTCACAAAGGAGGTTTGGCGATAAACCATGGTTTTCGTGCGTCATATGACGTACATAAACATCGGTTTGTCGACAAACCTCCTTTGTGAATTCGGGCCTGAAGGTGGGGCAGAATCCTTACAGACCGCGAAGGGGTGGGGCGGGGGTGGGGGGAGGGGGGGGGGGCAACTATCTTGGTTACCAAAGGCAGCATGCATGCCGTATCACCTGTTTCAGGATTTATCGGAGTCTCAGTGAATTCATTCAAAGCCTCCTTTCGTCAAAAGACTATTTTAAGAACCCAATAGTATTATTAATATTAATGCCCATAATAATACAAGAAAGTTGCTGGTATTTGTGGAATTGTGTATAGTATAGAGTAATGCAGGGAGAAGAAGAAGAAAAATACATCATTGGCTAAGTGGTATTTCCTTAATGTAAAGATTTAAAAAAAGTTATAGACTATTTATTACCTGATATAGTAATGCAGGAAAAAGAGTAAGAGAAATATAGCTTTGGTTAAATGGTATTTCCTTCATGTTAAGCTTTAAAAAAATGTATGTACTATTATTGTATTCCCTTATATATATACCGTGTTCAAAAAGTTCGTTCCGCCCCTATCTGCCAACTCAACTGCTCATATAATATGACTACTTTAGTAATAGCGCAGTCTGTTACCAACCAAATGTACTTGTACTGGATGTATACTAATGCATCCAGCCTGCAGAAATTGACCACACCTTTTGCTGGGCTGAGATACGAGGTCAAACATTGAAAAGGAGGAAAAAGGTCTGTAAACCTCAGATATTTAAAGATGGCGCCCAACAAGACCAACAGTAGCTTGAAGAAGGAAAGAGAACTGGCCAGAAAATTTGACAGAAATGAATCCCATAGATAAACTATGGTCTATTATGAAAGAAAAAATATTGAAACTCAATACTGCAGAACAATAACTCAACTTAAGGGGGGAACCGGCGAGTAGAGAAAAGCCTAGACATCAATAAGGAACTCCTTGCGTCATCAGTGGACAATAACTGGACCAAGCGTGTTTCACAGGTGATCGACCACCAAGGAGAGATACAAATTTTAATAAATTGGGAAGTGACAACTCTAATAATGTTTAGAAATGAGAAAATTAACAAAATAACCTAAAATGCATGGTGCAAATTAAGTTTTAAACACAATAAAATGTTTTTCTGTAGGGGGGCGGAACGAACTTATTGAACACCGTATAGTAATGCTGGAAGATATTGCAGATCAAGGCAATAAATGCAGTGGCGTAATGAGCAAAAACGTTTTTTTTTGGGGGGGGGCTGACAACAAAAATCCGAATCAACCCACTCTAACATGCAGGCCCCGCTGAACGTTTCTCAAAGTGGGGTCTAGGGGCAAAGCCCCGGCGGGGTTCAAGGGGTATGGGCATCAATGGCGGATCCAGGAATTTCTTAACGGGGGGGGGGGGGTTACAAAATGGCATGGGGTATATGTAAAACGATGAAGCGACAGAACGAGGCTTTAACGGCGAGGGAGCGGAGCAATTTTATAACCAAATTAGACGCATTTTCAAGCACTTCCTGGAGTAATATGATGTAAAATTGCTTTCTCCTACCTCTTCCAAGAGTAGGGATCTTTTGCAATTTGAGAACCACATTTGGCGCACAATGCACAAAGACGGTGGTCCGGTACTTCACCAGTATTACTTGCAAAAATTATCTCGAGTGTATAAACTGTGTCGTTATCAGGGGTGTCGCTACATCTTTTTCAGTGGGGGAGGGGGGGGGGTGGTGGAGGGTGTAGAGGCCGTCGATTACCGACAAAACGAGCCACCAATATTATTACCGACAAATATAAAAATGCCAATGTCCTAATATCTACAAATTTAAGCCTTTAAACCCGGGGCCAGGAAATAAGTTATTCTTCAGTTTTTCCCCTCCCGCGCGAAGCGCGGAAGCTTTGACACTTCATTAAATTATTAGAGAAAGAAGACGATCCGTTGTACTGTTCTCGACTCTTAAAGCTTGTTTCGCCCTTCCGGCGCGCAAACTCGCGGAAGCTATGACGTTTTATTTAATATTATTATTAGAGAAAGAAGATGATTCATTGTACCGTTGAACCGTTCTCGACTCTTAATCCTTGTCTGAATTCCGTCCCCCCCCCCCCCCTTTCGCGAAAAGCGCGGAAGCTCTGACGTTTCAATAAATTATTACTATTAATCCTAATTGTTTGAATTCATTTTCGCCCATCCCGCCCAAAACGCGGAAGCTTTCAAGTTTCATTAAATTATTAGAGAAAGAAGACGAATCGTTTTATTATGTCTTTGTCTGAATTCAGTTCCCCCTCCCACGCGAAGCGCGGAAGCTTTGTCGTTTCATTTAATTATTACTCTTAATCCTTGTCTGAAATCATTTTTCGGGTTCATTAATTAATAGAGAAAGATTAAAACGATTCGTTGTACCGTTCTCGACTCTTAATCCTAGTCTGAAATTAGTTGCACTCCCCCCCCCCCCCCCTTCCCGCGCGGAGCGCGGAAGCTTTGCCGTTTCATTAAATTATAAGAGAAAGAAGACGATTCTTTGTACCGTTCTCTACTCTTAATCTTGTCTGAATTCAATTTCCTCCACGGGGCCCCTTAACGGTATATGTGCAGTGTTACATGATGTAAGTATGGAACGCTCGTTTGCAAATCTGTGCATGCTCAGTGGTGGGTAGCATGTTATCTCCCGGCAGTGCTTTGCACAGTAGCTTCTGGAAAGGAATTAGTGTTACTGTTAGTGGCCACACTGTTAAAAAAAACAGTAGATTTTACAGAGAAAAAAATACAGAACCATTCTTTAAAGTGTTGTAACAGCAAATTTTCTGTAATTTAACAGGACAAATGTCTAGAAAAAATGAAGATTTTGTTTTTTTACAGGCAATTTGCGTGATTTCAGATCCCATATACAGATTTTTTACAATTCTACGGAATGTTCTTTTTTTATTAAGAAAACTTCATTTTTTAACGGATAATAAAAAAGAAATTACAGAAAACAAAAATACAGAACCATTCTGTAAATTGATGTAACTGGAATTTTCTGCAATTTAACAGGACAGATTTCTTTAAGAAGGGGAGATGTTTTTTTTTAATAGGAATTCTGTATGCTTTCAGATCCAATATGCAGATTTATTATGATTCTACAGAGCGTTTTTTTTTTCAAAGTAAACCTCATGTTTTAATGAATAAAAAGAAAGAATCTACAGAAATTAAAATACAGATTCATTCTGTAAAAATGTAAACTAGAAACTTTCTGCAATTTAACAGATCTCTAAAAAGAAGATCCCATGTAAATAAATGGAGTGTCTTTTTATTCAAAGTAAACCTCATGTTTTAATGAATAAAAAAAATACAGGAAACAATGCAGAACCACTCTGATAATTAATGTTACTTGACATTTTCTGCTGTGAAAAGGACGGATCTCTCTCCCTCTCTAAAAAAAGGATTGTTTTTTTCTTTATGGAAATTCGTAGGCCTATGTTTTTAAGCAGATTTTGCTTTTAATTCTACAAAGTGTCGATTTATTCAAAGCAATCTCATTTAGTTTAATGAATAAAAAAGACAGAATTTATAGAGGAAAATACCGTAAACAATTCTGTAAAATTAATAGCTGAATTTCACTGCAATTTGACAGAAATCTAAAAAAGAAGTTGATGAGGGTTTTTTTTCAAGGACATTCAGATCCCCTATAGATATTTAATGTTCTACAAAATACCCTTTTCAATTTTAAAAAAAAAAGACCTTAACTGCCTTTTAATGCCTTAAACTCAACAACGTAAAATAATTTGCGGTAAAAATACAAAACCTTTCTGTTAATTGACTCAAGCTGCCGAATTCGGGCACATTTAAAAGGGAAAGAAGATTTCGTTTTTACCGGAAATTAGTCTGCTTTTATCAGAGGTTATGCTTTATATAGGCCTAAATTTTAGTAGGCTAGGCATAATTATATATATACTTCAAAGTTCATGTAGACCTCTCAGAAATCTTTTTTTTTTATGCCATAAAAACAACACGAACTCCCACGAACTGAAACTGTAACTATACCGGTACCGTAATTTTTCTGCATCTTCTTAATCTTCTTCTTTTTCTTCTTTTCTATTCTTTTTTTCTTTTTTCTAACAGGAAGTTTTAATAGTGCTTTCATATCTTATTCAGATTTCTGTTTTTTTATTTTATTTTTTCTTTCTTTTCTTTTTTCTTGCCGCCAATTTTTTTGTTACCGTTAGCGATAGCGTGTAACATGCATGCGTGCACTTCGTTCGCGCCCATATATGCATGCATGGCGATCGATCAGATCAGAACGAACCGGCCGGGCGCGCCGGGCCAGCGCCAGCTATAGCTTGCTAGCTGCTTGCACTCGCACGCGCGCGCCATGCATTAATTGTACATGTTTACCATGATGTGTACGTACGAACATGTACAGTGCAGTGCAGCATAGAAGTTATCTAGTTAGCACTATGAACATGACAGACAATGAAAGCGGACAAAATATACAGTTCCTCAGGAAAACAAAGGAACATCCCTTCACTGCTATTATGTAAAAATGTGTAGAACAGGTGAATATGCATGTGACACCTGTTCTACACATTTTTACATAATAGCAGTGAAGGGCTGTCCCTTTGTCTACCTGAGGAACTGTATATTTTGTCCGCTTTTATTGTCTGTCATGTTCATAGTGTAGTCTGATCTATGTACATAATGCATGCAGTACATACCTGCGAAGTTCGTTCGTGAGCTGAGCCTGGGCCTGCCTGTGATTTGAATTGGATTGGGTAAGTCGATTGTCAATTAAAGTCTCTTTTTCGTTAGGTATTATAACAAGAATTTCAATGTAGTGTTTATAGTATTAAGAATTGAGTTTGTTGGTGATCACCACGATGAGATTTAAGTCGGATAGAACTCGAGAATTTATGCTTAAACTCTAGTAAAGTAAGCTAGTAGACCGATTAAATCTGTCTCTGTTTGGGGTAGACCGAAGGCTCCGGCCGTGTGTGTCGCTCTCAGTCATTAACATACGGACATTCTCTTTTTACCCTCTGAGTGGAGAGAGGGTAAAAAGAGAATGTCCGTATGTTAATGACTGAGAGCGACACACACGGCCGGAGCCTTCGGTCTATGTTTGGGGGACCTAGTATTTACAGTACGGTCATTAACGGGGAGGGCCGCCCGATTAATGACCGTACTGTAAATACTAGGCCCCCCAAAACAGAGACAGATTTAATCGGTCTAAAACTCTAGTAGAATCTAGTAGACTCTAGACTAGACTAGAGTCTAGTCTAGGACTAGGTCTATTTAATGATCTACAAGATCGAAAATGCCAAACGTTCTCACACACGTGGTTTGGTCTCTGGACTTTGTCTTTGGTCCTTGGATCTAAAAACGTAGGATGGGAGTTGGGTGTCCGGCACACCTGCTAAGCAAGTGGTAAATAAACTAGATCTACAAGATAGTATATTGACCACTTGCGAGGCAGACTTGCAAAAACCTGTTGACATTTTTGTGCCAATAGAGGGCTTAAAATATTGCCGACTTTACATTGGCAATACACACGCGCGCCGAGTCGATAAATGTGTTACTGAAAACTTCTAACAGCATAATTTATGTATCATTAGAATCAAATCGATTTACTTTTTATGACAAAGATGGGTTGAGTTTGTTACGTTTGTCTCTCTAGTTCAAGCTTAAAATAAATAATGACTACATAATCATAGTTTTGTTGGTTGTTTTTTTTTTTGGGGGGGGGGGGCAAAAGTGAAATTTTTTAAATTTCATATCAGGAAAATATTTAGTCTTGGCTTTAATATCATGCCAAATTTGTTTCATATCAATCTACCTTATTTTTTGGATCCTCCTGTCCACTTTTACGTGAACGTGTCCTTATCAGACTTCTCACCTTATATTTCAGGATCAAGGGAAGACATCTTCAAAGGGCGAAACATCTATTATCTTGTAATAGAAGGATCTGTCGTCAATGATGGAATAGCCACATTCCGGGAAGCAGTGATCACACTGTTCTGCTGTTTCTACGCTCTTTCCCTAGAGTACCCACCAGAGGGATCAGTCACTATGGAGTTCATCCAAAGGTGGGTATTTTAACTAACTTTTGTTGGGTTGCAACAACAAACAGAAAAATCATTAGTTTGAAAGGGCATGATGGCTGCAAGATGAATGGCAAGAACAGTGGTGTTGTCCTTAATCATAGAATCATTGCTGAACATTCCCCAGTTACCACTCGATGTTGCATTATTGTCTGTTACCATAGTGACAGCATGACATAATGACTTCAACCTAAAAGACCTGGAAGATGCAACCATTCTTGGCGTTTTGTGTGAAATATCTGCAACACAAGTCATTCCATGAGGGGTGGTGCCTGTACCTCTCTATGCAAGAGGAATTCATGCTCTCTCCTTCTCTCCTTGGTGGTGCATTATTCCATTGTCCTTGATGAGTTGGAAGAAAACCACCTACGGAATATTGACAATAACCTCCACCATGGTATCCTTGTGATATATTACCGTCCTTCATCTCTCCCTCTCTCTCTTTTCTCTTGTCTGTTCTCTTTCTATCTTTAATCTAAACTCCTCAAAAAAAGTCCTGCAGATCAATTTTGAGCCTTAATATCTTTTTTGCTCCTTTTCTATGATTATTGAATTTGATATCAATGGAAGGTTCATTTATTCCCCTTTACATTGATACCTCATTTGTAATGGTTATTTTATGCTTGAATGCACAGTACTACTGAATACAGATCAAAGTCAGAAGTGAAAAGTTGCTAAATGAATGGCTATTGTTCACATCGAGTTCTTAACTGGTATGAAAAGCTTTTGTGATTTTTTTCTTGCTTGTTTGTTAGTTTGTTTGTTTACTTTGTTCATTATTCGTACATTTCAATGCTGTATATTCATGTTTGAAGGACAAAAAATGTTTCAATAAATTTCAGGTGGTATTTGTTTTTTTTGTTTTGGCAAGAAGAGGTGTTTTAATCACCAGCTTATGGTTAGAGCACTACTTGTGTTTTGATTTCATACAGATTATTGCAAGTTGCTAGCTTAGTATCAGTCCATAACGGAATTGGAAACAAAATCGCTCCTCACATCATTTCATTTTCAGCCATATCCAACCAATAAAACAAACATAAGCAGAAACAGACCCCCCCCCCCCCTGCAGGAATCCCGCAAGCAGCTTTTTATTGCCAATCCTCATATTTTATCATAGTCAAAACGATGGGGAATGTGGGAAAGCCACTATAAAAAGATCTCTGTTTGTATGTATTTTCAGGGAACTCATTGGCATCAGTCCTGGGGGTCCAGTAAAGAGTGGAGGAAAGAAGAAGAAGAAATCGGCCGTGTCTCCAAAGATAATTGCCCTCCTTCGTGGAATCGTAGAGTTCGAATCTGACTGGAAAACAGAGTAGCAGACATCCAGCTCTCATTTTTTATGCTTCTGTCAATTTGTTTTGAGATGTGCTTTATTATGCACGATTTTTATTGTGACGAATACATGGATGAGACAATGTGATGTAAGAAACCTGTAAATTTCTATTATTTGTGCCTCATCTTGAAAGCCTTTTCTCAACATCCCCAACATAATGCAAATAAAATATATATAAGTATTAGTATAGTATAGGATGTATGCATCCAGATGTGAAAGGCTTTGATTTTTGGAAAGAGCCAAGATAGTCCTTGCCAAGGAACAAAGTGAGTTTTTTAGATTTTGTTGGTAATGTAAGAAAACCTCAGCAGGTCCTATTTATAATTTTATACCTATATAATTTGTATATTTGTTCTTTTGAAGGTTGTTTATAGTGTTTTCTTGATGATATATGCTACAGTATGCAAACATTATACCATGTTGGTGTTTACCCTGGTCAACTTTATATACAGGGTGTCCCATGAACAATGCCTGACACACTTCTGATAGCACACAGATCAACTTATTAATACCATTGGTAAGAGCAACATTTCCTTAAGGCCCTGTCACATTAGGCTTGCATGTGACTTGCAAGGAAATTTGTTTTGCTACCCAGGGGTCTGCGATACTGCGATACAACAATATTACATTTTGAAATAGTTGAGAAGAGGATCGGTTGAAAAATACAAATTTTTGAGGTGCTGAGTATGTACTAATTTGTGTTTTCAAAGGTTGGCAGCTATGCTATGTACATCATCTTCATCTTTTATTGGAAACATGTACATATTTTTCATTGAGGCAAGTGGGTATTTTGAGAACAAAAATAGACATTTGTATGCTGTTTAGGAAAATAATGTACATTATGCCATCTTCAATCATGAGAACTGATGGCCATATTAATTTGATATTCTTGGCCCGAACTCACAAAGGAGGCTTAAAGGAGAATAAAAGTTAGACAGTCACATGATTTCAGTGAATGGAGAAGAACAACAAGACTTAACAGTAAAAGTTTGAGCAAATTTGGATAATCCGTTTTCAAGTTATGTATTTTTGAAGTTTTAGAAAATCCTTATTATGGACTTCCTTAAGTTGGCAACTTCGCCAGAATTTGTGATGTCATTGTGCTCAACTCTCCATTGGTTATGTACAGAGAGTTTCACTTTTTTCTAATTTTCATCAAAAATAATATTTCCGCCAGTGTATTTTGTTTTTGTATGACATGGCTACATCAATTCTGCAGTATGTCTGAAAGAATCAATACAATTGCCCTTTTAATATTTTATAAAAATAAAATGTTGTGAAACTCTCTGTACATAACCAATGGAGAGTTGAGCACAATGACATCACAAATTCTAGCGGAATTGCCAACTTAAGGAAGTCCATAATAAGGATTTTTTTAAACTTCAAAAATCCATAACCCAAAAAGGATTATCCAAATTTGCTCAAACTTTTACTGTTAAGTCTCATTGGTATTCTCCATTCACTGAAATCATGTAAATGTCTGACTTTCATTCTCCTTTAAACTCTGTGGGGGGTTAAATCATGGTCTATGTAGATTTTGTGTATAATTTGCGCTTAATTTAGCGTGTATGCTGAGAAAGGTCCAATATGAAGGCACGCTGTGTGGCAAAGGGCGCTCAATTCATGCTTGTTGCTATGATTTTAAACCATAGCTTTAAACCATAGCAAAAATCATGAATTTCTAGTACTTTGCCAAAAGCGTGCATTTATACTGGATCTTTGTCAGCTAATCATACACAAAATCTGCATAAACCATGGTCTAAACTTAAACTTCCTTTGTGAATTCCGACCATTGAGTGTGTGACCCTCAAATCGAGCAGAATTGCATCAAAATATCATCAGGTTAGATTTAGTGTGCATTTTGTTTACATTTTCTATGTTACAATGGACATGTTTGAAATAGACCCCCCCCCCCCGGCACAGTTTTAGCATTGTTATAGCACATCTGAAAGAGCACCTCAAAGTGGTCTTAGGGATCCCGTTAGAATTTGGTTTAGATGGTTGATTGGAAGGCTTCTCTTCTACCCAACCAGAAGAGCGACATGTTATGAACGTGCTAGTGCTTCTCAAATTCAGGGCTATCTATCATCAAACAATCTGTGTAGTAAAATGCAATCTGCTTATAGATCTTCTCATAGCGTTGAAACTGCTCTTTTACGTGTATATAATGATTTGATGTTAGCTGTGGACCAAGGTGATGAAGCTGTTTTAATACTTTTAGACTATTCTGCGGCTTTCGATACTATCAGTCATGATGTTTTTCTTGATCGCTTACGTAATAGATATGGTGTATCAGGTACTGCCTTGAATTGGTTTAAAACCTACTTTATGAATCGTTCACAATCTATTGTCATTAATGACTCATTATCCAAACCTCATGTTCCACTTGAAGGTGTTCCTCAGGGATCCGTCATCGGCCCTTTATCATTTACTCTGTACACTGCACCACTTGAAGATATTATTGAAGCGCATGGTTTAGGCCGAATGATATATGCAGATGACACCCAAGTTTATGTTGTTTTGAAACGTGATTCCGACCATTCTGTTATTACTAAACTTGAAAGATGTATAAATGATATCAAAGCTTGGTCCACTGCTAATGATTTGAAGTTAAATGAGGATAAAACCGAGGTTATACATGTAACATCTCGATTCAGAAAGTCCTCCCATTTACCATCTGTCGAAATTGCTAATGTTCCGATACAACCTGTCAAAAGTGCACGTAACCTTGGTGTCATCTTTGAAAATGATCTTAGGATGGATGATTATATAAAAAATATTTGTCGCTCAGCTTCATATGCCTTGTACAAGATAGGTGGTATTAGAAATTTTCTTGATAAAAAATCTACCGAAACGCTTATACATGCATTTATTACATGCCGTCTTGATCAATGCAACAGCCTTCTTTATGGCCTTCCGGAGTCGCACATTGCAAAACTCCAGAGAATCCAAAACTCTGCTGCCAGGCTTGTAACACGCACACGTTCTTGTGAACACATCACCCCAGTACTTCGCGAATTGCATTGGTTGCCGGTGACGTACCGCATCATGTACAAAATCTTAGTTTTAACTTATAAATGCATTCATGAATTGGCACCAATTTATCTGCAAGAATTAATCGAGGAATACAAACCCTCACGCAATTTACGGTCATCTTCACAATTAAACCTCGTATCTACTTCTGTGTCAACTCTCTCTTATGGTAATCGCTCCTTTCGCAAAGCTTCTGCTGAACTTTGGAACAAATTACCTTTAAATGTAAAAAACTGTCAAACCGTTAACCTATTCAAAACTAGTCTCAAGACACATTTATTCAAAATTGCGTTCGATGATTAATTATCTCTGTTCACTTTGATGTGTATTCCATATGTATTGTTATTTGTAGGTTTATTTGCATTTTTAGTTTTGTATAAGATGTAATTGTATATCAGTCTATTTTGTGTGTATAGCGCTTAGAGACTTCGGTGGTAAGCGCTTTATAAGTAACGTTTTTATTATTATTATTATTATCCTTGGACTGTGATTTGTATTTTTCTGCACTTCACACTATTTGCAATATGATATCTGATCATGCCAATCATTTATTTTTTTAGAAATTTGTTAAATTATGTTTTGTATGTGTTTAAATATGCCAATCACATACAAGTCATGTGTTGCAGTAGGTTCTATGCCTCCAGATTTTAAAGGTTTTCATTATTGGTTTGAGCCAAAATAATCTTTGTAAAGGAATGAAGAATGCAGGTGCCCTTTTCTTTAGGCATCTATACAGGGTGAGTCAGAAAAAAAAAGTCCACTTTCAAAAATCTATATAATCTCTAATGTATGTTATTCTTCAAAGACTGTGGTATGTCCTAAAAGAGTATCTTCCTCTTTTATTTGGTATAAATTTTATCAGGTTTATAGCATGAATGTCATGCTTGTCTATACAGGAGGCCCTTTTTTTTTTGAGAGAGAGAGGAAATAAAATTTCACCTGCGCCAGAAGTGGTGGCATGTCGATCATGAATTAGCAATAAATGATATACCTCGGTTAAACATGACTCTTTACGATTTCATATCATGGGGGGGGGGGCACCCCGTAGGCTATATAGTTTTTTGTTACATTTTATATCTTTGTTACTCACTGAAGTTTGCTTTTATTGTTTTCTTGTTGATTAAGCTCCTTGCAGATCAGTATTTACATGTTTGTAATTGGTAATGATAAATGAACCCTTTTAAAACTACAAAATGTTGCAGTTGTTTGTTAGGCCATATAGTTTTTGTTACATTTGATATATTTGCTACTTACTGAAGTTTGCTTTTATTGTTTTACTGTTGATTAAGCTCCTTGCAGATCAGTATTTACATGTTTGTAATTGGTAATGATAAATAAACCCTTGAAAAACTACAAAATGTTGCAGTTGTTTGTTTGACTGACTTGTGTATCTGTAAAATTAAAGCAGGTGCCTGCAGCAGTCACAAGATTTATTTTTTTAGTGTGTGTTTTGATGGTAACTTGTACATACACACTCTAGCATTAAGGTCTTACAGATTTTTCATGAACATGTTTGTAGGATTTCTATAGGATATAATTTAAATAATTTCATGAGAAATTTCATTTATTACACACAAATGTTATAAAACAGATTGGCTGTAAATTATGAATCATGCTATAAAATTACAGAATTTCTCGAGACTTCTGCAAGCACCCTGCCCTTTTTATTATTTTTTCATTCCGTTATAATTTTTCTATTTTTTATTTTTGTTTATTTTTTATTCATTTTTTTTTTACATGCCGATTTTCTGTTTCAAAACAGATGGACTGTAGATTTTGAAGAGAAATATGTAGTCAAATTAAAGCACTCCTGTAAACCTTGATTCAGGCACTCCTCTGTCTTTATTTTAAAGATAAATTTCATGTATCACAGATGGCTTGTTATTAAAAAGATGAGCTGTAAATTTTGATAGTAGATCTGCTGCAAAATTACAGGAGTTCCTTGTAGTTCGGCAAGTTATCTTTCTGTTTTTTTAAGAATAAATTTCATTTATCATATGCAGATTTGCGGCTAAAAAACAGATGAATTGTAAATTGTGAAAAGAAAAATGTGGCAAAGCTAAAGGATTCCTGTAAACCCTGAATCAGACACTTTTCTGTCTTTTTTTTTTACAAAAATGAAATGTTATAATCACTTACAGATTGTATGTTATTAAACAGATCAGCTTTAAATTATGGTTACAAATATGGTGTAAAAAAAACTGGAGTTCTCTAGAGTTCTGGAAAAATATATATATAAAAAACAGAAAATTTGTATTTATCACCTCCATATTTGCTGTTAAAAAACTGATGACTTGTGAATTGTGATAACAAAGTTCTGTAAAATTACAGGAGTTCTCGAGACTCTGCTGCAGGCACTTTTCTGTATTTTTATGGAGAATTTTTTTAACAGTGCACTATAAGGCCCTTAGTGACTATAAACAAAAAAAATGCTCTTCCTGGCTATTTCGGAATGGGTTAGTTTGCAAGAAATAATGGAGAAACTAGCATTTTTTTATTTTTTTTTTTTTGGGGGGGGGGGGGCTGGCGCCCCCAAGCCCCCCCCCCCCCCACCAGTACGCCAGTGAATAAATGGTTAATCATTAAAGGTAAAGACCAGTATTGGAAACGCCCCAATTTCAAAAAATGAAATGGAAGCTCTCATTACCAATCATGTGAAAGAATATGTTTTGACTAATACATGATGATAAAAAATTTGCCGGGAAACCGCC